CCCCCCCCCCCCCCCCCCCGTCCGCTCTGCTGTTCACGGTTTTATTTCACGTTCTGGTACGTATTGTGACCGGGCGCCTTCCGCTGCATGCACGCACGCGTGTTGCGGCATCTCCAGGGAACCTGGATGCCGCTGAGGCTGGCTGCGCGGCGTGCCTTTCCGCTTGGCCGCGCTGCGCGAGCGGCCACCTGAAGATGGCGAAGATTCTTAGGGCCCGCGGCGTATCGCATCAGGTGTGTTGATGGCGTCGACGGGCGGGAGGGTTGGAAAGGAAGGAGATAGCACGCCCGCAGGGCGAGATCTCGGTCCGCGACGATGCTGTTGGGAATCGTGGGGTTGGTGGCTGTGCCGTTGTTGAGAGTAGTGGGTATATGTGTCTTTCTTTCTTGTGGGCGTCCAAGCGGAGGCTGAAGCTGTTTTTGGCGATTTATCCCGTTTGGCTGATTACGCTCGTGTGTGTGTTTTTCGTTGGCTGCACGTCGCAAAGGGATTAGTACCCAAACGCGTCTGAGTTGTCCTCCCCTTTACATCCCCTACCTCCCCTCTCCCCCACCACGACCTCCCGGGCTGCCAGCGTGCGATAAAGGACGTGGAGTTTCACCTTCGACAGGCGTTAGGGTCCGCCTCAAAGCCGGGGGGCGGGGACCAGGGAGAGGAGGTTGCTCAAGCCGCGGCCGAACGACTGTCTCTCCTGCTGTGCCAGGAGGGACGCAATAAGGAAGCCGCCAAAGTTCTAAAACGGCACGGTTTCAGGTGACAAGAACCGAACCAGGGAGCAGGTAGTAGATGATGCGCCGGGTTGAACGCTCACAAACTTTATTTCTTGATTTGTTGCGGTACCTTCTTCCAAACCCGCCTGCATCGTCAGCACCGTCCTAAAACAAGTAAAGCGTAATTCATCGTAAAAATCGGCAGGGTGAAGTATCGGGCGTCCCTCGAAGAAAGTGATGCGGATACATTACCTCGCGGTGGCGTGTTATTCTCGCCCCCTCCCAGTGCGAGGCTAGGTCAATGGTCTAACGACTACGGCATGCACGACTATGAGTACAACCCCCCTCCCAACGCGGGGCTGCAACGCCCAACACTACAGCAAAGAAACCCCCAAGACTTTCCTTCCTGACGCATGTTTGCCGATGTCCTACTGCTGCGTACGCGCGCGCCCCGCGTACGCACTTGCCGGCAGGTACCGTCTCTCGGCGGACGTGCTCCGATACCCGCTGCCGCCCCAGGCGAAACCGCCAACGGCGGTCGAGGAGTCAGGCAACGGCCACACCCTCGCGAAAAAATCATCGCCGGAAGCGCGTAAGGACTCGAAAGCAGAGGGGGGGAGGAGGAGCGACGGGAAGGGGGACAGTGGCGGTGACGACGCTTCGGAGTTTGTGGCGGCGGTGGACGGGGCGTTGCCGCCGGGGATGCTCCGCCACTTGCAGGTGAGAATACGACCTTCATCATTCCGCGAAAACGGTATGTCCTGTGCCGATGCGGTGGCGGTTTCCTTCGCAAGGAGGTTATGCTCGGTTTACAGTAGGGGGCTGGGGGTTAGGAATAGAGATACGAAACCCCCCGCTCTATTTCATACTTCTAGATTTGTGGCCTTCGCCAAGAATTTTAGTTTTAGTAGTGGGGTTGGAGGTTAGGCATAGGGATAGAGACACGAAACCCCCATCTCTATTTCAGAGTAGCAGTCAGCTCTCGCGAAGGTGGTCATGCGGTGGAGGCTAGCCGTGTATCGTAACGGTACGAGTGATCGTACATGCCCTTGGACTGACTTTCAGGACTCCGTTGCTCCACAACCAAAGAGGGCGCGAAAAAATCGACCGGTAAAGCTATTTCTCGAGGATACGTCTTTCCAAGGATATCACCCGTGTGCGCGTTGGCACCCTGTTGTCTGCGGAACAATCGAGATACGAAAGTCCGTCTAGGGGTGGGTGGGATCACTCGCAGGTTTGGGCATTCGCGCTCGCGCGTTTGTGTGCTAGGGTTTGTTCCTCGTCCATGCTCTCTCTCTCTTTCTGAGGATTGATAGGGGCGTCATGAATAGACATTCCTGGGTGGGTGAGTGGGTGTATGGGTGGTTGGTATCAACCACGGCTAGTTGGACACAAGAAGCCGAGCAAACATTAAACAACAATCACAACCAACAACAACAACAGCAAGGACGAGAATCCACGACAACCAGGACAGCATGGATATGTCGTCAACCTTTTATTGACCTATCTGTCTGCTGCGTGTGCAGGAGGCGTTCGGCAGCCGGTCAAGGTTCTGGAGCGAGCACGGGTACAACAGCGAGACCGGCTCTCCTGGCTACTTCAGCTACATACACCGCCTGGGCGGGGCGCCGACCACGAGCATCGAGCAGGTGTTCAGGCGTTGTCGACGTGGAAGCGCGTACAAGTTTTTTTTTTTTTTTGGTACAGCAGTAGTGGTACAGCCGTCGTAAAGCAGTGGCATAGCAGTGGTGGGCCTGGTTGAGCGACGCCGAGTCTCAGGAGGGACTAGGGTCGCGGTTCAGGGCCGGTAGGTGTAGCGGCTACTTGTTGGCGTGCAGTTGTGCCACAGCATTTTTTCGGTCGCTACACAGGGCTTGTCGCTATGCCGGGGGCTGCTAAACCGGGCCTACCATTGTACGAGGTGAAACCGTACTCTGGATGTGATTCTCCGCATGGCGCAAAAAGGAAAGTCCCTGGGTCACCTTGCTCCTTGTGATCATGACCCCGGCTAATACGTCCAAGTACACGTCGAAAGGTATAGACAGGCACCAGGTTAGATAAGACGACAACACATGCACAACAGATGTCAACCGAACGTGACATCGAACGATCACGCCCTTCGAGTCCCGCCGTGCTTACACGGATGGACGGCCGTGTTTCGCCGTGTGTTTTTCTTGCCCTGTCTTGGGGCAGGTGATCAACCGCGTGAGGTTGTTGGCGGAGCGGAGCTTTCCCGAGGTGAAGGAGGCCAAGTTCGTGGAGTGGTGGGCGCACCGCCGGCCACACTCCAGCGGGCACCAGATGCACTTCGACTCCGACAACGAGGGATTGGGCGGGGTCCGCAATCCGATCGTCAGGTAATAGCATAGCACCTTACAACCTCTGCATGTTGTGTGTTGCACAAGATGCCCCCCCCCCCACCCCCTATGCTTTTACC